GTCCTTCCAGCTTTCCATGGAAATTCTGGGAGCTGCTCCTAGTTTGGAGCCCCACCTTTCTTCCGTGTCCTCAATGGGCGCAGGACCTTGACGGCCAGTGGGTCCTGTGCCTCCAAGGCCCAGGTTTTTTGCCAACAGCAATAGGCTACTGGCTGGGCCCAGGCAAGGGAGCCTTGGCAGGAAAAGTTCCTTGCTCTACCTCCACTACACTCAGGCCAGTGAGGGGGGTACCAGACAGGACTCCTTCCTCCCTGGTGAAGTGCCCCTGCAGCCCCCCAGTGTCCACACCATGGATATTTCCTCCACAGAAGTACAATGCTGATTATGATCTGTCAGCTCGGCAAGGGGCAGACACCCTGGCCTTCATGTCTCTCCTGGAGAAGTTGCTCCCGGTGCTGGTGAGTGTGCCCAGACCTCCCAGCATCCATGGTTAGCAGGGGAGGGGTCGGGCACACATAGACCCACACAGAGACTCAGGACAGCATGGGGGTCAGAAGCCCACCCTGTATCAGACAGGTACACTGGCTCAGACCTGCCTGTTTCTTCCTGCCTACCCAATCCAGGTACATACTTTCTGGATAGACACCAAGAACTATGTGGAAGTGACCCGGAAGTGGTATGCAGAGGCTATGCCCTTTCCCCTCAACTTCTTCCTGCCTGGCCGCATGCAGCGGCAGTACATGGAACGGCTAGAGCTGCTGAGTGGGGAGCACATGCCTGAGGACGAGGAAGAGCTGGAGAAGGAGGTAGCTCTGAGACCGGGGGCTGTTGTATGAGATGAGCCCCAAGGATGCTGGCCAGGAATGGGAGTGCTTAGGTGGGGAGGTGGAACTGTTCCCGCAGCTGCAAGCCTACCTGTGTCGTCCCTACAGCTGTACCGAGAGGCTCGGGAGTGTCTGACCCTGCTCTCTCAGTGCCTGGGTTCTCAGAAGTCTTCTTTGGAGATGCGTGAGTCTGACTCCAAGAGGATAATGGGTGGCTTGGGAGAAGATACAGGTTCAGATGGAGCAGCTGGGGCTGGGGTGGGGTCAGGCTCTGGACAGGAGGTCCTTGGGACAAATACTGGTCCTGCTGCCAGTGGGGCTGTGTGTGGGGCCAGAGCCTTCTCAGAGGTACAAAAGGGTAGGGGGAGGGCAACCAGGCACAGGAGGGGCCTGAAGAGCTGTGGGGCACTGAATGTGCCCTTTATGCAGCCCTGGGATAGAGCCCTATTCAGGGCCAAGCTGGCACCACCTGGGGATCTCTCCCAATACCAGATCTAGAACTGTGTGTCCTGTCCTTCCCTGATGGCCGCCTGCTGCCCAGAGCCCACCTCCCAGGGCTGACTCTTCCTCCAGCTCCATCTTTACCCC